GGGAGGGGAGAGAAGACCGGTATCTGCCATATACTATATTCTCTCCCACTAACTAGACTGTAAAGGGTCCTGAGTGCTGGTGGAGTGTCTGCATAGAGTAGGCATTCATAGACATTTGTTACCTGGATGTAGTGGGGCTCGGAGAAGGCAGTCAGCTCCTCCGAGTCGCCAGCAGAGCCCAGAGCAGAAGCTGGGTTAGCTGGCGCTCATGCATCGCCCTCGGCTCTCCCACATCTGCCCCGGGCCTGTGGGCAGAGGGGCAGCTCCCAGGTGGGCCTGGCCCCTCCTCATCCTCTCCTGCCGGCCGTGTCTCCCCTCCCCCAGAGTACATCGGGAAAGCGCAGGTTCTCCGGGTGCATTCAAGCCAGAGCTCAGAGGAGACAGCGTCAGAGCCAAAGGCAGAGTGGCGAGGAGCCTGAGCCGCCCTGCTCGGCCCGGCCTGAAGCCCGCCCGGAGTGAAAGCTTCCCCACCCAGCTGCTGCCACCTCACCAGCAATACGTACTTTCCTATCACATAGAGTCTATTAAAATGCCACCTTCCCTTTAGGAGGACAGTTTGCTCTGTCACGGGCAGTCGGTCTGTGATTTGGATTGTTTATTCCTGGAGCAGGGGCGAGCTGCGTGGAACCACCCCCACCACCGTTCACCGCCCCTCGGAGAGCGCCCCAGTGCCACTGCCCATGTGGGGTTTACCTGGTTCTTTTATGTTCCAGGGAACTAAAGGGCAGATGGTGGCTAGGGTGGCCTGAGAAAAAAGCTCTGCCCCTCTTTGAACTAAGACACACAAGGCTCTGGGTAGGTTAGAGCAGAGGTCAGGAACCCACAGGCCTCCTTAAAATAATCATTGATACCAATTATTGAATTCCTACCGGGCACTGAGGCAGGAACTTCAGGAATAGCTCATGAATACTGTTAACTGACCCAAAAGAGTCAGGAAGCTTTGACTAGATATAAATAACACAGACTTACTCAAGGGCCTTAGGTTTTGCAACTAAGGCAATACCCAGTGTGTTCTGAGGGAACACAACTGGGCAATACCCAGTGTGATCCAAAGGAGAAAGAAAAGCTGAGGGTTGTAGATAGTAAAGTGTACATCCAGCTTCTGCATTCTCAGGCCCTGAATTGGTCTAAGATGGTATCTGTCAGATGTCTGGTGGTCTAGACAATGGAGCATTTTCAGATGGTTTACTGAAGACTTGATGTAAGTCTGGGCATTAACGCACAATGCACAGACATACCTCCAGGTACTGACACAGGACTGGAAAATTCAAAACTTTTAAGTTCCCAGAGTCAGCTGAAACAAGAATAATTGTTTCCTTATGCTTCTGCCCACTTAATTTTAGTAATTTAGCAGCTGGACTGTAATGACTCCATTTTATTTCTTCACTCTGTTCCTCAAACACTATGTGGTACTTATATTTGATTCTTCCAAAAGTATTAATATATTATAATTCCCATTTTATAGGTGAATAAACTGAGGCTCAGAATGGTGAAATAACTCATCTGAGGCCACATAGTAAGTGGCAGAGCCCAGATACAAACCCAACATGTCTGGTTCTAGAATAGCCACTGTACTCTACTGCCTTACAAACAACAACCCTCACCAAAAGTGGTGGTTAATTCCTGAAAAGCAGAAAGCTTATCCAAATGGTGGTTGGCAAGATCAAGGGGGAGAGGGACATCATAATATAAATGTGGTTCAGATGTACCCGGGGCTGCTTTGTCTTTTAAGATCTAGAGAAGATGACCTTGACCCTCTGGGAAATCCAATGTCATCCTTGAGATTTCTGCCAATTCCCTGAAAGGTGAGGGGAGAAAGGCACTGGGGATTTACAATGTCAAGGTCTCCCGTGGCTCTGAGCTCCTACTTCTACGGAGTTCAGTCCATGGATTGTGGCCCCATTCCACACTTGCAGTGCTGCTCCACCTCGCATCAATCCTGGTGGATTAAGTCCCTCAGGGTTTTCCCAAACACCCCATTCACACTAAGCTTTTGTGTGCAGTAGACTTCAATGGAGATCAGGGGCTGGATGGGGATTTGCTGTGAATCCAGCAAAGCTCCATTCATGGTCAATATTAAATAGCTTTGTTTTTAAAAGTCCTTGGCCACTCTTCCACTGGGGATATTTTCTTGGTGGCAGCCTCTTGCTATATCACTGGCTTTCCTTTGCCCTGCCCTGCCCTCTGACAGCAGTTTTCTCCTAGAAAGCCCACATTTATTATTTTTTCCCCCTATTTTTTATTTGCAGCAAAAAATATGTATCACATAAAACTTACCATTTTAACCATTTTTAAGTGCACAGTTTAGTGGTATTAAGTACATTTGCGTTGCTGTACAACCATCACTACCATCCATCTGCAGAATTCTTCATCTTGCAAAACTGAAACTCTCTTCCCATTAATCAATAACTCCCCGTTCTCCTCTCCCCTCCCCCAGCTCCTGGCAACCACCATTCTACTTTCTGTCTCTGTAAATCTGACTACTCCAGGTACCTCCTGTAAGTGGAATCATACAATCTTATTTGTCCTTTTGTGTCTGGCTTATTTCAGTTAGCATAAGGTCCTCAAGGGTCATCCATATTGTAACATGTCAAACCTTCCTCCCACTTTTTTTTTTTTAATCAATGCAGCAGTTTAGCTTCCTCCAACCTCTCTTCCCAAACTTGCCATCTCCACCTTGGCCCATCCAACCTCATCAAGAGGGTGAGCTGAACAGGTCTGTTCATGGCATAGGGTCCCTGCCCCTTGGCAGTTGTGGTTATGAGAATATACCCCTCCTCCACTACAAATGATTTTTAAGAATACACACAGCAAAAATATTCTGTAAGTTATGTACTTCCAAAATAAACCATACTTGTTTGCACAAAACCCCTGGCTCTTTGGGTAATCCTTCTACCTCACCTTTATTTTTTCAGGAAATATTGCTAAGAGATTAATATTTGCCATTGCAGCTTCTCATAGTTTTTTATTCCATGGAGTGTACCTCTCATCAAAGTTGCCTAGTCCATCCTTCAAATTTATTTATCTGTTTTGCATTCTCCATCTCGTTTGCTTTTGCAACTCTGTGCAAAATGCTTGTGTCACTGCCTGGCCTTCCCACCCATTGTCATTGCACTTAAAGAGCAGCCATTCTAGGGCCTGGCTTCTTACCCATATATTTTGAGCGTAGATTGTGAACAGATCTTTCTCAGCAACCCTGCAGTCTATCAGGAGAAAGAAAGAAAGAAAGAAAGAGGGGACTGAGCTGGACCTTGTACACATTAAAAACACTGTGGAAATAAATGCTGTGATATGCAAATGGGAAACCACTATATTGCAAAAAAACATATGGCCAAACTATGGTTGTGTGGGATAACCTGACTTAATTCAATGCTCACGACAACCCACAAGGTAGGTGTAATTATCCACATTTTAGTTTACACAGCCAATAAATAGTGGATTCAAGCCCAGGGTTGTGGGGTTCCTCAGTCAGTGCTCTTTCTGATACACTGTTACCTTGTAGGCCTCACCCCAAAATTTACTGTCTCCAGACAAAAAAGTGGACTCTTCTCTCATTTCCAGCCATGTCACCCCCGCTTTCTCTTGGTTCCTCTTCTGCCCCCTGGACATGGAGCAAGGCACAGTTGGCTCTGACTCCCTGGCCCTCTTCAAAGTCTCCCAACAAGGCTACCTCCTTCTTCCATGCTTGAAGGGAGTCATTGCTAAACCCCAGGGGGACAACTAGCTGGGGGGATTTCAATATTCCAGACATCTGAAAGAGCACTGGTCAGAGTTGTCACTGGTTATCCTGGAAATGCCGGTGATGTTGGGTCTGCCTGACTTGTCACCTGCACTGGGCCATCAGTGCCCCTCTGATTCAGTGCCAGCTGGTGACTGGGCTGTGGCCCGTAGGCCTGTCTGGCTTTGTAGAGTCTCTGTGCTCTGCTTTGCAGTACTCCCTGTCTCAGTGGCTTGGCATTCATTTCACTTCTGCTGGGTGTCAGGATGCTGTGACCACTGCTGGGTCACTCTTAAGTTTTCCCTAAATCGAGGCCCTAGAGTTTCTCTTTTACCCTCTGCTCCTCTGCCTGAAGTGTAAGGACAGATTTCCCCTTTCAATTATATCCATGGAATCATGTTTTTACTGTGTTATTTGTAAAAGTTTCTCATACATATGAAATACAAATATTAAATCATTCCTCCATGTGCCACCTAAGTTCACCTATTGTACCACCAGAGTATATTTACCACACCATGAGAAACGGTGACTAGAACAGATTGCAATTTGAAGATGAGAGAGCTGCTACTCCAGGACTCTTGGCTTAAGGACACACGTAGAAGTCAGCTTGTCCCTACCCAGTGTGCTGGCTCAACAATCTCCCTGCCCCACTCATTCCACTTAAATGAGAATAGGCTGGAGACCCGTTTCAGCAAAGGTTGGGGTGGGGAGGTTGTAACCTCACTGCCAGAACCTTAGAATCCCATTGTTGGGACGTCCCTCAAAAGATCTCTAGCACCCTTCTGAGACCATGGGAAATCCCATTGTAGTGCCATACAATATGATGTCAAACTTCAGCTTTGACATCTATGGTAACAGAGATCTTACTACCTTTCCTGGCTGCTCAAACCTAAATTCTGTCCCCAGAGCCACAATGATCAAGTCTTTCCTTCTTCCCCTGGGTATCTAATTTTGCTCATGTCAAAACTCTTCTATAAATCTCAATTAGACCACACCTCCTTTCAAACCTTTCATACTTTTTTTTTTCTTGTCTGATTGCATTAGCTAATACTTTCAGAGAATGATATTAAGTAACTAATAGTGATAGTGGCATTTAAATACTTTTCATCGAAATGCCTCTCATTTTTCACCATTAAGCATAAGTTGATTCTGTTTATATATTAAATATATATAAACAGAAATATTCACATATTTATAAAGTTATTTCAAGAAGTATCCTCCAATTCTTAAGTGTTTAATCTACACTGGGACCTTATGAGGTAGATACTTACTATTATTAGAACAATTTTGCAGATAAGGAGCTGAAAACAGAAGTAACTTGCTCAAGGTGATACAACTAAGAAGCAGATTCAGGATACAAATTTGGCAGCTTGAGTGGCAAAGCCCATCCTCTTGGACCTGTATGCCCCATAATAACTCCATGTGGTAGATGTTATTAGCACCATTTTATAGATGAGAGTTCAGAAGAGAGGTTAAGTGATCAGTCCAAGCTCAAAAAGCTTGCAACTGTATCCTTCTCATGGGCTGATAGGGTAGTCTTAGACGACACCTCTACTGCACATTGGGTTAATTTCTTCTGCATGCTGTGTGACTTTTCTCAAATCTGTCTTCCATTTCACTGCCTTGGTTTCCTGTAATGTCAACTATACCCTTGAAAGTACTACATTCAATAACTCTGCAGTGGTGGTGTGTGTTTGTTCTCTTCTTAATCCAC